GATCAGCCCTTTCGTGAAATCAACATATAGACACCTTCGTTTTGCCCTTGCCAATGCTCGAATCATTCAGAAAAAACAAAATGGCCTTATTTTATTTTTATCAGTTTATGAACCGAAAATATTTTCTGTTGTTGAAACTTGGCTGACCCCAAATGATCCTGATAGCTTGTTTTAACTTCCTGGATAGGGTTTTGTACGATGGGACCGTGAAACACATGGCGGTAGTGTAGCTTTCATCACCAAAGACACCATTCTTTACAAAGTTATCTCAGTACCGTCAATATATACTCAGATAGAAATAATCTCTATTGATATATCCTTCTCAAATAAAAATCACCTTTTTATTTTATACTACCGCAGTGGAGGGTTTGATATTTTGGCAGAGAGATACGCACTCGATAGTGCTCAGTGTATAAAAAAAACTCTGCAAAGGTGATGTTTCAATCTTCCCAACATTAACTGGAAAAATTATTTTAAACCTAATAATTACATACATATTCAATATATTCATCGAGCTGTTTAATGAATTAGGCTTTCATCAACTGGTTGATCAACCAACTCTGGAAAACAATATTTTAGACTTGGTTATATCCGACGATGCCAGCTTGCTTACTGAGTTGGATGTATTGGGTCCGTTTGCGTCCAGTAATCATAACTGTCTCACATTTACAGTCAACTGCGCAAATTCTATCTCATCAGATCTAGACTCCAACAATAAAACATTTTTCTATGACTTCAACAAGGTCGATTTCACTTCTATGAATGACTGCCAGATGAGGATAAACTGGGATCACCTATTCCAATAATGTATTGACATTAACTCCAGCTGGGATCTTTTTGAACAAATAGTATGTCAGAATAGTGTCTCACGCAGACATACAGTTTCCAATTTACTCTGTCAGTTTTACAAAGCCAAGTTAAATTTTTGGAAAAATTGAAAACGGACATCTTCCTTAGATGATAAAGTACTATACTTGACAATACTTAAATGCTCTCACTTTCAATTGGCCAATCATTTCAAAAATATCAATGAACAAAGATTGTTATCAAAATCTAATATTAGAAGTTTCTACCGATACGTTAACAAAAAATTGTTTTTTCGACACCAACTGAGCAGTTTGAAATTGAGCGACAACAGCGCTAACTATGATCCCGAGGTGATGGCAAATGCATTCAACACATTTTGCCTCCGTGTTTATTAACGACAACAACAGCAACTGTCCATTAACTTGTCGTACCACAAAATTATATGAAGATGTTAGTTTTACTCCTCAGATAGTGTTTTCAGCTCTGCGCAATTTAAAAAATACACATTCGGTGGGACCAGATGGTATTCTCAACATACTGCTAAAAAAGTGTAAATCCAGTCTGGCAGTTTCGCTCTGTCATATTTTTGATATTTCTTTTAAAGATAATCTCTTGCCAACTAAATGGAAAACTGCGATTGTGACTCTCATTCATAAGAACGGTCCAACTAACCACCCCAACAACTACAGACCAATTCGCTTACATGTTCATGCTGTCGCGTAATGGAAAATCATCAACAAAAATATGCTATCCTACTTGTCTAACAATAAATTAATTTCACACTTTCAACATGGTTTTTTGCCTAGAAAATCCACCAACACCAATCTTCTACAATTTTTTAGAGATTGGATGTCTATTCGCCAGCAAAAGGAATGTTGTGACACCGTTTACCTAGATTTTAAAAAAGTCTTGGACTCCGTATCGCACACCAAGCTAATTAGTAAAATCCAGCCTTATGGAATTTCTGGAAATCTACTCTTCTGGTTGACAAGTTTCCTGTTTGAACGGTTTCAGCTCGTTAGAATTTATAATAAGTTATCAACATCTGTACCAGTTACCAGTGGTGTTCCCCAGGGCAGCGTCCTGGGACCCATTCTATTTCTAATTTATATAAATGACGTAGTTGAGTGTACCCTACCCAAATCAGTTTCAATATTGCTTTTTGCTAATGACATTAAGTTATAGTGTTGCTCATCCAACTCTGTCCAACTTCAACAAGTAATCAACGATATACTCGCTTGGAGTATCAATTGGTAGTTACCTCTTTCTCCAGACAAGTATTATCAATGTTGATTTTCTCTATCAAAATTTCTTACCGCTCCTCATCAGTATTTTATTGGTCAACACATTTTAAAATCAGCACGTTACTTCAAAGATCTAGGTGTCACTGTCGACAAACAAATCAACTTCAACTTGCACATTGATGACATTACTCACAAAGTTTCCTCGCGTGGACATTTAATAACCAAATGCTTTACCTTCAAAGATAAAAACTTACTCATCAAAATAATTCTTCTGCAACAGAATCATACGTGTATGGAACGATCTGCCAGCAGAAGTGGTCTCCTCAACGTCACATGCCATCTTCAAGAATCGCCTACTGGCTGTTGACTTATCTACTGTTATAACCGTGCTACCGAACGCACTAGATTCTAGCGTATTCTAGAATGTTCTAGTGACTGGAACGTTCTAGAGTATGCTGGAATCGGACCATCGGGAAGAATCTAGAAACGACGCTTGCGAAGAGTATATAAGCGCACGTCGCAAGATATTTGTGATTGGTGATATTTGTGATTAGTGATATTTGTGATTATTGAAATTCGTGATTTTGTGAATAGCGATTCGGTGAATTATTTAAAGCGATATTTGATTTGTTTGTTGACGTTGTCATAGCGATAGATTTTGAAAGATTTAAAAGTTAATTGTTGCGTTAGTGCGAATTTACTGGAAATAAACGATTAGTTGATTTCTTCTGTAAATAAAGTTTAATAACTAATAATAGTTGAAGTATTTTATTCTGTTCGGAGTATTTCATTCAATCGAGGATTTGAACCCGTCGCATCGTAAACCGGTTACGACAGCGAGTATTATAACATTGGTGTCCGAAGTGGGATCTTCGACCAGCGAATTGCTACTCGTAGAAAAAGAACACGATGGTCAAAACTGTGTGGNTTGAACGTAGTTCAACTACGAGAAGAACTACAGAAACGAAGCCTTGTCACAAAGTGGCAACAAAGAAGTACTAGTTGCACGTCTGAGAGAAGCTCTCATTGACGAAGGTAAGAACCCAGACGAATTCAAGTTTGATGGTGCTGACGAAGACAATGAAATTAGCACAGGCACGTTTACAACCGCCAAAATGATGGAACTTCTGCTTAGTATGTCAACTGAAATAAAACAGATCAAAGAACAGTCCGAACGACAGTCCGAACGACAGACAGAGGATTTAAAACAGATCAAAGAACAGTCTGAACGACAGTCCGAACGACAGACAGAGGAGTTAAAACAACAGATCAAAGAACAGTCCGAACGACAGACAGAGGAGTTAAAACAGATCAAGGACCAGCTAAAACACGTAAAATTGGAAGTGGCATAACAGATTGAAGAACAGTCAACAAGAATAGAAATGATCGAACAGAAACTTGATCGTCAGACCGTTGAGGTAGATCACAAGATAGACAAATTGAAGCGAGAATTGGAGCAATCCAAAAAAATGGCCATGCCGTTAGATCCCGCATCTGGAAGAACTTTGAAGGTACCAGCATTTGACGGAGAGATGTCCTGGAACGTTTATAAAACCCAGTTCGAAGCAGCGGCAACTAGTGACTGTTGGAACGGAAAAGAACGAGCAACAGCACTGATACTGGCCCTGCGAGGTTCAGCAGCAGAGGTTCTTCAGACGATTCCGGCGGAGAACCACTTCAACTATGAAGTTCTGGTTAGCGCGTTGGATTTACGTTATGGTGAAGAACACATGAAGCAGATTTATCGGTCTCAACTTAGAAACAGAACGCAACGATCTGGTGAATCCATTCAGCAGCTGGCACAAGATATCGAACGGTTGACATTGCTGTCGTATCCAACATCAGACCCCGAGCATAGAGACGAAACTGCCCTGGATACGTTTATCAAAGCCCTTCGTGATTCGGAACTCAAGCAATCCCTTCTCTTGTCAGATAAACGAAAACTCAAGGATGCCGTTGCGCACAGTCTCACTTTTGAATCGGCAAAGCAAGCATCAAAAAGTGACGTACGTCTACGCCAAGTACATGAAGAATGCTCTTGCCAGAAGGTGATTGTGAAACGCGAACCCCAACAGCATGGTGTACCCCAATGCTGGATTTGTGGCGAAAAAGGCCATCTACGTCGTGATTGTAAACACCGCCTAAAAGATAACTACTGCCGAAATTGCGCGACAAGATGGCGCAAAATAAGAGAAGATGATCCCGTATCACAATCGGCCCCTTCTAACGAAGGGGCGGAAAACTAATAAGAGCCAAATTTGTGGGGCAGAGGTTGGCTAGTAGAATTGACGCCCCCAGTACCGTAATTAACGTTTCCAGACTACATCGAAATCGAAACGACTTATGGCTGAACGGAAAAGTTGATCAACGAGAATGCGTAATTACAGTCGACACCGGAGCAACAAAATCGATTTTAAGATCTGATTTGGTACCCAATCTGAAGAAAGAGACTTCTAACAAATACATCCTTCGAACAGCTACCGGAGGAACAGCACCAGTCTACGGAAAGATTCTCCGTACTGTTCAGCTAGGCGACTTGTTATTCGAAGGTACATTCTTAGTCGCGGATATCATCGACGAATGCATAATAGGTGTCGACTTTCTGACAAAATATGGGTTCAAAATTGACTTAGAAAAACGCATTCTTAGATGGAGAAATACAGAAGTGATAATGGGGGATAGCGACGAAAAATGCATTCGAGTAACAGTCGATTGTGACATGGAACTACCTCAATCATCTGAAAACATCGTATGGGGCAAGTTGAATTGCGATCCTGGGGGCCACCAGTTCTATTTGATGGAGCCAACCTCAACGACAAATGTACAGAACGCGGTCATTGGAAAATGCCTTGTAGAAGCGAACAAAAATGT